CTAAAACTAAAAGAGTCAGATATAGGRTTATATATACCAAAGTGATCAGGGTGATGAGTAGAGTTGAAATYCGGATGTCTGTCTGTCCGTCCGTCCGTCTGTCCGTCTGTCCGTCTGTCCGTCCGTCCGTGCCAGCTGTAACCTGAGTAAAAACTATGAAACTTGGTACACGTATTTCTTGGCTCCATAAGAAGGTTAAGTTCGAAGATGGGCAAAATCGGCCCACTGCCACGTCCACAAAATGGCGGAAACCGAAAACCTATAAAGTGTCATAACTAAGCCATAAATAAAGATATTAAAGTGAAATTTGGCACAAAGGATCGCATTAGGAAGGGGCATATTTGGCCGTAATTTTTTTGGAAAAGTGGGCGTGGCCCCGCCCCCTACTAACTTTTTGGTACATATCTCGAAAACTACTATAGCTATGTCAACCATTTCCATATACAGTTCAAAAATGGAAGAAATCGGATAATAACCACGCCCACCTCCCATACAAAGGTTATGTTGAAAATCACTAAAAGTGCGTTAACCGACTAACAAAAAACGTCAGGAACACTAAATTTTACGGAAGAAATGTCAGAAGAAAGCTGCATCCAGGTTTTTTTTTTAAACTTAAAATGGGCGTGGCGTCGCCCACTTATGGACCAAAAACCTTATCTCAGGAAGTACTCGACCGATTTCAATGAAATTCGGTACATAATAGTTTCATAACACCCTGATGACATGTACGAAATATGGGTGAAATCGGTTCACAACCACGCCTTCTTCCAATATAACGCTATTTTGAATTCCATCTGATGCCTTCTCTGTATAATATATAACCAATGATGATAGCGGAATAAAACTTTACACAAATACGGTATTTGATACGAGAGTATAAAATGTTCGGTGACACCCGAACTTAGCCCTTCCTTACTTGTTTGTTCTTTCTTTTTCATTATTGATAGTAACTCTAACTGGTTGGCATTACATTCCACAGCGTGTTTAGCATTAGCGGCGACCTGTCGATTTTTGTGTGGGTGTTCGCGTATTTTATGCATGTTCAAGTTGTTCACTTGTTTGCCAGTTGTTGTTTTTATTCTTTTTACAAATATTTTCAATTTAAGACCGGCAAGTTGATGACTGGTTTGTAGAGAAATCTACAATTTCGGCGACTGTTAGATATAGTATGTACATATGTATGTATGTCTGCCTGTGTATAACTATATAAATTTAATTAGTGTTTCATAAATTGTATGCCCCTAAATATTCTATTGTGCGCCTTAGCAAAAACTGTATGGAGGAAGCCGATGTGAAATAATCTTGTCACTTTCTGCTCTATTGCCCGGCTTTCACCAGATTGAGTCATTCCAAGTTATTAGTTGAAATTTGTCACCTTCAAAGAGTAATTTTAAGGTGCCAATAAGACAAGGAACCGCTCGAAGTAATGAAAATATTGCTGCCGTTCAGGCAAGTAGTGCCGAAGACCGCAATTTATCGCATACAATTTGTTTTCAAGAATGCGGACTGTCTCAAACCACAATTTGAAAAAGCATTTGGGCTTGTATTCTTATACAATTTTGCTCACCCAAGCACTGAAGCCTTTGTACTTACCATAAGCGTCGTGAATTTGCTGATTTTGCCTTGCAACAACTTGAAAGCGATTTATTTAAGAAAATCATCTTCTTCGATCAGGCTCACTTTCAAAGGAGTGTTGCGGTAAATAAGCAAACCATCGATTCTGTTGCGAAGAAAATGTAAGAAATATTCATGAACAACCATTATATACACCTAAATTGACAGTTGGGTGCGGTTTTTGGTTTGATGGAATCATTGATAAGTAGTTCTTTCGAAATGAAGCTGGCGACACCGTCACTGTCAATGGAGAGCGGTATAGATCGTTGATCATCAACCTCTGATGGCCGCAATTGAAAGAAGAAGATCGTGACAACAACTATTTCGAACAAGACAGGGTTAAGTGCCAGACAGCATGTGCAACAAACGCATTATTGCGAAAGGATTGGAGATTCGATTCTTTCAAGAAATTGCGACATTGAATGGTCTGAAATAAGTCAGGATTTAACATCAATAGACTACTTCTTCTCCGGTTATTTCAAGTCATTGGTGTTAAGCAATAAACCAGAACATCTTCAAGCTTTATAAGTGAATACTCAAAGTGCTATTGATGACATTAGACTAGATTTAGTAAAAAATACTCAAAAATTGGGTTCTTCGCATGCGTTACTGCGAGAGAAGTCATGAAGGCCTTTAGAATGATTTTATATTCAGAACTTAATTTTATCAGTTGAACTTCAAATGAAATAAATTTTAAATTTGAAGTTTCTTAACAAGTGGTATAGGTTTTTTTTGTCAGTCCGGCTCAAATTTGATCATATGTTATAAAGTGTATTTAATGGACTTAAAGATGTTGCTGGTTGTCTATGAGTAACTCGCCTTTATTAGAAGTGAGAAATTTGAAATACAACTTTTTATCAGAAACTCCGATCTAGACTCAGTCAGTTAAGATTGCAAAGAGCTGTCCGGCTCAAATCTGATCATATGGTATAAAACTCTTTAATATACTAAAATGCGTTGCTGGTGCTTTAGCAGTAACTCTCTGTTATGGGAATTCAGAGTTTTGAAACGGAACTTTTTTCGAAACTTCGCTCTAGGCTCAGTTAAGATTGCAATGTCCCGTTTTTACTACAAAAAAAAAAAAAAAAAAAAAAAAAAAAAAAAAAAAAAAAAAAAAAAAAAAAAAAAAAAAAAAAAAAACAATTCACTTGAAGATGAAATAACTATATTTCACCAAACAGGAATTCAAACTCTTCAAACATTACAACTTTTACTCATTTAACCACCAAACATTAATAGCAAATTCAAGTGAGCGCAAATTCCAGACGCTTGTGTTCAAAACTAAGCAAATAACTCACGGCAAACAACGGCTTCATAACGACAAACAAACGCCATTTGGAGCCAGCTTGCCACATTGAGGCAGCAACACAGGCTGATAAGACTATACAAAGCTTACTACAAGCAAGTTGCTTGGAGGTGCAACATGCTGCCACAAACAATAACGTTGCCACTACCATATAAATGAAAATAAATAGCCGCTAGTGCTGACGCGTACGCCGACGCCACTCCATCATGAAAAAGTATGTCAGACAATCACTTTGCTGTCGTCAGCTTGTGCGCATGCGCGTCTAGAATGTGCGCCTTTGAGGTGCTATACAGGAATGCCAGGCCACAAACACACGTACACACACACTCATTCAAACAAACATTGCTTAGACTGCATAGCAGTGTTGCTGAGTGAGTTTGGAGCAGGTTCTAACCGCTCATGCCGTCATGTTGTTAACCGCAATTCTTCTACAACCAGCGGCAACATTGCAGTTTTCACAAAACACAGATAAAAAAAAAGAGTGCTAAAAATATGCCTTGAAATGCTCGTAAAAGGCAGCAGCGTTGCTTGCCACAGCGCTACCGGTAAAGTGCTTAAGGCGCAAAAGCAGTTAGCAGAAAGCTCGACACTTTTTTGTTTGTAGCTGCAGTTACTTTTTATGGCGGTTTGCAAGTTTGTTGCTTTGGTCTTTAGTTTGTTGGGTCAAATTTCATGTGGGGGGTTTGATAGCAATGTTTGAGGTTGATCAGCAGGAGGGGACTTTGTGAGAATACAGTAGTAAAGGTTATTGAATAAGTTTGAAGATACTTATAGAAGCTTAATATTGATACGAAAGGTACAAATTAGTACAAGCGAAGTGTAGAATTTGAGTAAAATCTGGTAAATCAAGTGATAGCCTCCCCCATTTAATATAAGACGCTCAAAAATTCAAAAAGTCCAATAACACAAACTGAAAAATGTATCGCAAACGGTTTCGGCAAACTCTCACACGCGCGTTGGTGGTACACTCATTCGTCAGCACCTACATGGTGGACTGTTCGGTCGAAGCCTTCAACTCGGTATGTAAAACAGCACGGGAGAGTTCCTGTCCACTGAAAGCACTGAAAGGGAAGGCGAAACCGCTCTGGGAGACTATAGAACCCGCGGAAATCAGAACCTGCAGGACGCAGGGTCAACTGACGACTGGATTTGCAACATACAAGTCCGAGTTAAGGAAGGCGAAGAGGACCTCATGGAAAAAATTCTGCGAAAAAGTGGAGGGTTGCCACGAGTTCCTAGATTTAGGCGAATTCTCGCAAAGAACCCCCTGTCGCCGGGTTATCTTGAGAACGCAAATAGAAAAGAATACATATAGTAGTACACCTTCGATCTTTGATCAGCCATCTAAGCTAACCTAACCGACAACACTCTAAAGTACAACGCCAAAAATGAAAAATTCGTTGGTCCAAACACATATGGATCAGTTAAAAAATTGTATAATTGGCGTGGCCCTGCTCTGTTTCAGGTGAAATTTCATATTTCAGAAATTTCTTGAAGGCTTTGAGTTAAAATTGTCAATAAAATTGTCTGGAAGCCCTCTAGCATATTTTAAAAATGAAAAAAGTCACTTATAAATCACGTCCACTTGCCATATACAACTTTTTTGCTTACATTTTGCTTATTTGAGCTCTCAATAGATAACTCTACTCTCAATAGCTATGATAAAAGTCTTCGAAAAATAGGAAAAATATAATTTATTTGGCATTAAGTGGACTCACGTTCCTTTAGGCGATTCTATACCGTATATATTGACCGAGATCGTATAATTCTTACTAAAATTAAGTGAGAATGTTTTGTTGTAGCAGCATGCTATTCAATAACAAAAAATGTAGAATTTGGTACAGAGTTTTTCCAAGTCAACCGCAGCAAGTATACTGATTTCCGACAACCCAGTTAACTGCAAAAGGAATAGCTTAGTTAATGCATGACAATGCTTAATTAAGCTAAGTAAATATGTTCTCTTAACCTCATAGTAACTTAGCAAAATTCACCTACAGCTTCGTTTAATAACAAATATTTTATAAAAACTTTATTTTCTCACTTCAACCTTCATTAAAAGCTGTACTTTATTTCATTTCAGCATTATAAGGAGTTACGAACTCAACTACACCAACATAACAGTAAGCACACATATTCACCACTGAGCAAGTGCAGAGCTTCGCTTAGCCAATACACAAACCGCCGCTGAAAGCGCAACAAACCAAGCATTAAATGCACCAAACTCACCACAGCGGTGTAGCAGCGCACAAATACTCAACATACATTCAGCAATAAGCAATACAGCACATCAGCGAGCGCGGCATAGAACACAAATTAAATACACCACACAACAACATGGCGACGACTAACGCAAGCACAACGATAACGACGACACCAACAACGGATGACGACTATGTGACTGTTGTTGAAGTAGACGATCCCGCATCCAAAGACACAAACCGCAGACAGCTAGTCAAGCAAAGACAAAGCTCAGTCGAAGAAGACTCTTCCTATATAACTGTACTAACGATCAACAATCAAACACAATTGCACAACACTAACAGTGGTGGCAGCGAACAAAGTGCCGGAAGTGTAGAAGCAAATGCGCACAATGGCAACACGAATGGTTTGTTGCACACCGCAGAGGCGGAAGCAGATACTGAACTGTTAATAGTGCACCGGCAGCCAGGTGAACGTTTGGGTTTCGGTCTAAAGTTTCAAGGCGGCACACGTAGCGCCGAAAAGGTGCACAAACTCTACATACAGTCCTGCGCTGCCGACAGTCCGGCCTCCAAAGTGTACGCCAGTTGGGGTGCATTGCGCGAGGGCGATGAAATCGTCAGCATCGATGAGCAACGCGTCTGTGAGCTGACGCGCATTGAATGCGTGCGCTGTTTGAAAGATAATGTCGCAATACGTTTACGGGTGCGCAACGGTTATGGACGCAAGCCAGAGACGGAGGAAGAGCTGTTGTTGGCGGGCGCCAATACTATGGATGCAATGACGGGCAGCGCGTCGGGTGCGCGTATGCTGAGCAATGATGCAAGCGGCACAGCTGTGATTATGAGCAATGGGCCAATGAAGGGCAGTCCGCCGCCACCACCGCCAGTGCCGCCACGTAAGCTCGTGAAGCGCAAGTCTTTAAATGGCGAAAGTAAAGTTGTGGTGCCTGCAGCGTCGGCTACCAACAGCGCTAGTGCCGCGCCAGCAATTACACTAACAGCGGCGAGCGCGTCACATGGCGGCGAGGTGGATAAACCTTTTACACCGCCGCCAGATGCTGAGTATTACATAAATCTGTTTGCCGACGGGCAATCGCTAAAGACAGAGTCGGAATCGGATGACACTGCAAGCACAATTTCGACAGTGATTGATAAATTCTCCATGAGCTCCAACTATTCGTCCGAATCGGATCTGTCCAGCTACACATCGCTGACAAATGGCCAGAGTGTGATTAATAAATCAGAGTTGGCAAAGGTGCTCAAGCCGTTCACAATGCTGGAGCAAGAATTCAATGTGAATGTGAATGGCAATGCGGCAGTGCAGTTGGATGAGTGTCTTAAGAAAGTCGCCGATGTGCCATCGCCAACAATGGGGGATGTAATGCCAGATTTGTTGGCGGGCACAATGTCCGCGACGCAAGCGAAGAAACCGTTAACATTTATACCAGGCAACAACTACGAGAATGTGGAGTTTAAGACCGAGAAGGTGAACACCTATGAGAATGTGGAGCTAAAACCACAGGCAACAGGTGCGCTAAATGTGGTGTTACCAACACCTAAACCGCGACAAGCCGTAGTTGGCACAAACGGCTCGCCGACAGTTGAGCCGAAGAAACGTTCAATTATACCCACACCACGTAAAATTGCCACACCCACTAAGCTACCCATACAAGTGGCGCCACCGACAGTACCCAGCGAGGCGTTGCAAGCTAGGTCAACACCTAAAGCGGCAAATACTCCGAAGACGCCCACAACACCTACCACACCCAACACACCGACGCACTATCCGCAAACGCCTGCAAATACGCCAACCACGCCCAGCCCACACGAGAGCACACAAAGCGCTAAGGAGTTCATAACGAAAATACCGAAAGCTATAGCTTCGGTGTTTGGTCCAAACTCACAGCGTTCCTTCGAACGCGCAAAGACTGAAGGCGAAATCAAGCTTAAACAAAGTCCTGAGCTTGCGGCAACTATTAAGCAACAGACCGCTATGTTCTTGGATAAAGAATGTCACAGTTCTACGGAGAGCGTGGCTAGCGCCATACGCAAACCACCGACAGATAAAGCAAAACCTGCTGAAACTAGTAAATTATCGCCACACAAATCGCGCATTCCGGTCGTGCTCTCGCCGAAACGTTCGCTCGAGTTGGACAGCTCCATGGAACGAAAGCACCTTGGCAGTCCTTCTAATATACCACGTTTCTTAACGCACAAACAAAAATCCGAAACGGATCTGAAACTCGGACTCTATCGCAGCAAGTCTAAGGAGTCCAGCCCGCCGGTGAGTTTGAAAATGCCGTTGCAACGCACGAATTCAGCCGAATCAAAACTGAAGAGTCCCGAACGTACACTCATACCCGTCTTTAGTGGACAGTCGACATCCGCTGAGGCAATACTAGCGTCAACTACTACAATCACATCCACAAAAGTCAAAGGTCCGAAACCTAAACCACCAGAGCGTGTGCAATCATTGGCCAAGACGCCGACGCATATACCGAAATTACAAACTGCTCAGGGCGCTAATGGTACCGTTACAGTAACACTTGGCGACCGCAGCGTGCAAACACCATCACCTTCAATATCTCCAGCGCCCGGTAATGCACCGATAATGCACACTTTCAAACAACAATCACCACCAGCAAGCGTCTCACCGAACCGCGAAATCCGTTTCAAAATACAAACGTACGAGAGCAAAGCTCAAGAACCGCGCACACCGTTTACGGATGTCAATGACAATGAAGACGAAAAGTTGCCCAGCCTCTTCGACCTCGTACGCAAGCACAGTCCAAATGCTCAACTCAAGGACGATGGCAACTCATTGAACACAACTTTGTCCACATTTAAGACACCGTCGAATTTTGAACACGAGCAACATTTGGAGAGCAACGTCGATGATGAGGATCCGCCACCAGCTGTGGTGGGCAAATGCATTAAGGTGAATGACTCACAACCCACATACTACTCCAGTTCGAGTGAAGATGATGAGGAGGAGGGTAGTGCTGTCGATAATGATGCTGAGCGCGATTATGACTGTGAGGATGGTGAAAAATTGGGACCGCCGGAAGTGATTAACGGTCCGGGACCATCCGAAGCTTACTTCAATCTTTATTGGCATTCAAATATGTTGCCAACCATTGGTGAGGTGGAAGAGGAGTTCTCGTCGCTGGAGCCGCAGTCTTTGCCGAATGGGTAAGTTTGTTTAATAAGAAAGATTGAGTTCTTTTTACAAGAAATTTCAAAGGAGCTTACAGGTCTTCATTATAAAAACTTTTACTGACCTGAAAGCTTAGAATTCAGACCAAAAGTTTTTAATGAAAAAATCGAAATCGCCTTTAATTTACACAGTAATTGCATTAATAAAGTCGTTTAGTGACGGTCAAGCCACTTAATTTAAGAGGATCATATCTTCGAGGAACCTCACTGAGCAGAAGACTTCGAAGAACCAGTGCGTGTTTAAGAAACCTAATCTTAGATACAAGTTTCTCTTTCTCTCGTAGGGGTAAGATCGACCACACATGAGGGTACCTTTATATCTGAGCTGTATAATAGCAAACCTAAATCAGATTTCTGGGATTTTGTGGGAAGTTTGCTGTTACTCCAGAAATTTTAAAGGGACTTATTAATCAAGGAAACAGTTTGTAGCGCTTCGTTGAAACATAAACTGACAAAGATAACGTCTGTGGACGTATATCATGTTTTCTAAAACAAAATATGACGAGACTCTTCGGATAAAAAAGACGGGCATCAAGTTTCTAATCGGTTAGCGCTTATGAATCGATTTCAGAGACATAGAGTTTCAATAAATGTTCCAGATATTGCAATTTTCTATCTCCAGTCGAACTGTAACGGTCAAGGAATGTTGGAACATCTTAGTTCTTTCGAGATCAGATCAGAGCGCTTTCGAGATCGGAGCGAAAATTTAGGTGGTTGTTGAAAATGGGGACATCTAATAGTAGTAAGTTCGAATAGGAATGATTCTATAGATTGTCTCTTGAGAATTTCAACCAGCTTAGCTGGCAATATGGGAATTCAATCACCAGGAAGATCTTTTATAAAGATCGCAGATGCTTCGACTAAGCGAAATATTGAGGCGGTTATTGTAAAAAGGGGATTCTTGATTCTCAGCTTGGGTAGCAATGATGCTTTAGCTTGATTTTTGAGAATTTTAATGATTTCAGCTGACAAAATGGCGCGTCAATCGTCAAGAAAATCTTTTAAAAAGGTCACAGGTGCTTTTACTAAGTTGAGACAATCGTCCGATAGTCCGTTTCAGTAATGTAGAGGAGACCGCAGACATCAGTAATTTTGATGCATACCATAGATATCGGTAAATAATATCTTCACCTACTTTTAGGGGCTTACAAACGATAACTTCTTCACCCGGTATGAATATTTTTTCACACTCTGCCGCTCACTTTGAACTTCCATTACCAAACCGAATCCATTAGCTAGTGCCAGCGCAAGATAAGAAAGTGTGCTATGTATAGATAAGAGACAGGCAAAGTTAATAGAGCGCATTTTAGTTAGTATAAACTGAATTATCTGACTCTAAATGGAATCGGCACCTCAAAACAAAATGTGATATACTTTAAATATGGATGTATATGAGTGAATATGCAAGAAAGTGCGAGATAACCTCTAAAAAAAAAAAAAACGCCGGTACAATGCAAATGTGCTAAATAAAATTTGGCCAAAATGGGGAGCAGAGACTAGAATAATACGAAATACAAATCAAAGCACGAAGACGCGCAGGGTGACGGGTAAAAAAAGTGTTAATGACAGCACGGAACCGAAAAGAATGATAAGCGACGGTAGACAATGATAGCGCAGCGGTAGCACCGAGGCGCAAAGCGCTACAATGGTAGGGGTTCATATGTAGATTACTGACAAAGGCGGTGAGTGCCGAGTGCAGAGCGGGGTAACAGTCATAACGTGAAGCACTGCAGCGACACTTATGATGAACCAGCGACTCATTTTGCGTTGACGCCGTGCTTTTACGCTCTGCATTGTGGGCAAAAGTAATTAGTACAAGTTTTAATTTAACGCCGTACAGGTGAGAAAACGGCCGAAAGATAAACGAGTCGTTAGTTACTTAGAATTGTGAAGAAGAGAGGTACAACGCTGAGCGAATACAAAGCCACAGAGGTGAGCGAGTATTCAAATTTCTAGAATTGGAAACTGTGTATGCAATTTCCGATTGTTGTAGCGATTGTTGTGTTGTTTACAAAAAACAAAAATATAAAAACGAGCAGATAAATTGCCAAAACAACGGTAAAAAGACATGCCAATTTGGTGGCAGTTATTGCCTCTTGGCGATAATTAGTTGAAAATGAGAGCAGAGTAGCAACTTTTTCTAATTGTTTTGTGTAGCTTTGCAAACAGCTGTCGCACATATTTCAAAAAAATAATTAAATATTCGTAAACGTTCTGACATGCTCTTGTTATCATAATTTTCTTGACTCTTCTAGACCGATCGTAATTGTGGATGATTTGAGCCAACAGCAGCAGAGCAAGCAGTCTGCAAGTCACATTGAAGTCGAGAAGGTCAACGAGCAGCAACGGAACGCTGAAAGTAAGGAAAAGAAAGACACGAAAGCCCCGAAGGAGACAAAGGAAGCAAGTGGTAAAAAAACTACAACAGAGACCGACGTCGCACAGACGAAACAAAGCTTCGAACGAGTAGACGAAGTTAAGAAGACCGTGGTAGAGTCCGCAATACTGAAGACGCACGAGCACGCTGCAAACGAAACCGTAAGCGCTAATAGCGCCGCAGACCAACCAGCAAAGACGGACAAAGGAGGCTTGCACGAGCTGAAGAGCCACACGCCTGTGACAAATAAATACCGAAATACGCAATTTTTGGGCACACCTGTGACACCACCAACAGTACCAGAAATAGAGAAAGCTACAACAAAGTTAGAACACACAAGCGTAGGTGAAAAGATGTCCGAAGCGGACGCAATGCTGCCGACAAGCCAAGTTGTTGGTGAAAAGATAGTGACAGTGAAAGAGAATGCAACTGAAATGAATGAACCGATAAAAGCAACAACAATAACAACAGAAAATATACAACAAGTGAAACAAAGTGATAAGATAAGTGGCATTACGGCCGCAGCAATGACGGACCGTAATTACCAAATGAGTGCGGGTGAGCTGAGCGCGGCATTTATTAGGGCCGAGCAAAATGATATGCAAAATGCCAAGGCTAATGAGCCAAATACAGTTGACAATATTGAAGCAGTGATAACAGTTAATCAGGTGTCGAACAAAGTGCCGCCAGCAACGGCTGAAGTGCAAGCAGGCGTAGAACTAGTAAGTGAGACAGACACAAAGAACGCAGTGGAGGCCGTAGAGCTGGTGGATACTAATGCAGCAGTAAACGAAAATATAGACAAAATTAAAAAGCTGGAGACGAATGAAGTATTACCTGCAGAGACGCATGCGGTCAATGAGTGCAAGGTCGAAACGGCCGAGACTACAACTACGACCAGCAATAGCACGAATAGCACGAATCAGACCAGTGAGACGCATACCGAGCACAAGTCGGAAGAGCGTGTGGAGCAAAAGTCGGAAGTAAAGTCCGAGATCAAAACGTCGGAGACTACATCTGAGACGCGTCAATCTACACAAAAGGTGGCGCATACCAAGACAACGACTACAACTAAGAAGCAGGTAATCAAGTCTACCACATCGACTTCACAACTGCATGAGAGCTCTAATATAGATGCACTAGACGGACTGTCTGCGGAGATGCGTAAGATGCTGGAAGCTGGTGGTGGCAAGATCACGACCGTGACGAGCAGCACAACACCACCGCTACCAACCAACAATAATAATTTGACGGAACAATTCAACAAACCCATTGCCTTCACGCTACAACCGTACGCTGAGCGTGTTAGCGGTACGCCACGCATAACTGTCTTCGAGGAGCGGCAATTCGAGAGCAAACAAAATGCCTACACTGAGATACGCACACGCGATGCAAGCGGCGAGGAGAAGGTACAAACCAGCACAGAGTCGCATAAGGAGCGCGCCAAATTGAAGAAAGTACACAGTCACGACAACGAATTGGATCAGCTCGGCATTGTGATCGATGCTGATGGTGTGGCAGCCGACAAAAGTCAGCCGATGACGATCACCGCGTCTGCGGAGACACGTATATCGGAGTTAGCCGAGAATCCACAAGATAAGCAAAGTATTGAAAGGGGTATTTTGAATTTATCGGAGAGTGGTAAACAATTGCAACGCAACGAAGCGGGCGCTGTGGAGTATATGGAGTGTGAGCATCAAGTGCAGGACTCATATGAGGATGTTGAACAAGTTTTGGGTGGTGAGAGCGTCGATGAGACTGCAAAAATGCCGACACTCTTACGTGAGTTAAGTGAAACTTTGACTGTAACTAAGGATGGTGAGAAGCAAGTGACACGTCGCAGTGAAACCACGAAAGAGACGCCAAAGAAGGGTGCCAAACTGCTAAAGAAGTCCGATGATGAGCGACGCTTGGAGTTGGAGGCGCAAAAGCTGATTGAAAGCTATCAGAAGGTGAAGAAAGAAGCCGAAAAACTATTCCAGCATGAGTTGTGCGAGGACGAAGGCTTCGATTTTGGTGATGATAAGCTGAGGAAGTCTGAAGAAAGTGTTATACAACAAAATAAAACCGTAAAAGAAAATGTTGCGAGTGTTAATACAGTTACGAACACAAGCGAGGAGAAGCAGCAAATTATGGTGGACGATATGAAGTTGTTGCAGCCCGAATTAGAAGTGAGCGTTAAGGACGCCGCAGAAGCAGCAAATAGCAGTGAAGCAGATGTTAGTAAAACTGCTGTTGTGCAGAACGAACAGCCAGAGTTAAAACAAGAAACTATGAGCCTCAGTAAGCAGCTTGATACGGAACATAAAAATTTGGATGTTACGAAGTTGACTGCTGGATTCTTGACAGAAGAGCGAAATTTTATGAATCGAGAAAGCGTACGGCCGGAGAAAAAGACACCTGTTGAGAAAAAGAAAACAGCAGCGAAAAGCAAAAAGGGGGTGTCCATACCGACCGTACCTACCAGCGTATCGCCCGACTTGTTGGACAATGAACCAATTTATGTGTTGCATAAAAATATTATCGAGGCACCGATAGTACCAACTTTGACAGCTGAACCAAATATCGAGCCTACGCTGCCTAACTCCAAGGAAGTCATTGAAATCCAAGAAGTTATAACGCCAACTCCAACGGAAGTCGATTTACCACAAAAAATAACACAGTTCGAAACTGTGGACATCAAGATTAGTGTGCCAACGTCAGCCAAGAAAACCAAACCTAACGTAGAGGTCAACACAAGCAGTGCAACCAAATCAGCGTCGACGCCACCCATACCGCAGAAGCGTGAACACAAATCCACAGAGAGTACGCACAGTAACAAGGTATCCACACTTGCAACCACCAACACACCCACGCCGACACCCAAAAAACGTGGCTCAATCGAACTGCACAGCAATACTGCCGCCGGAGACCACACAACGAGCGCGGCCAAACTGCAAACAACTGAATTAGAAATCCCAATTAACAAACAGAAACTCCAACAAAACATCAACGCAGCCGCCGCAGCAGCACAACCAAAGCTCGAGCGCATTATCGTTGGCGTAGAACAGCAGCAATTTGACGATACCAACAACAATAGCAGCAAACAACCGGCAATCATTAACCTAGCTAGCGAAGATTTGCCAACGGAAATGGCGGTCACTGCAACGAAACAAGTTGTCGCCGATGTGCTAAGCAGCAGCGGCGGTGCGATCGCTACGGAGCTGCATTTGGAGACTATTAATTTGCCAAATGAGCCACAAAATACGTGCAACGTGTCGACAGAGAAATTAAGGAAAACAGAACGTGTTGGCGATGGCATGCAAATGACAAATACAACTACACCAACAATAGCGTCTGCGACATTTGTGTCAACATCATCATCGGCAGATTCGGTGCAAAGTGTCATCGAAGTGGGTGGCATTGTGGAATCACCATCGGAGGATGAGGTCACGCCAGGCATTACGCGGGATACAAGTGAAGAAGGTGAGTGAATCGCCTGATTTAATYTATATATTTATTTTGGTTATTTTGAAGACAGTTCAATAATGGTATAGGAATACAATATTTTTAAGCCATTTTTGTACCATATGAGATCGATTTTTATACTCTCGCAACAAAGTTGCTAAAGAGAGTATTATAGTTTTGTTCACATAACGGTTGTTTGTAAGTCCTAAAACTAAAAGAGTCAGATATAGGGTTATATATACCAAAGGGATCAGGGTGACGAGTAGAGTTGAAATCCGGATGTCTGTCTGTCCGTACGTCCGTCTGTCCGTTTGTCCGTCCGTCCGTGCAAGCTGTAACTTCAGTAAAAATTGAGATATCATGATGAAACTTGGTACACATATTTCTTGGCTTCATAAGAAGGTTAAGTTCGAAGATGGTTAATATTAGTTAAGTTCGAAAATCGGCCCACTGCCACGCCCACAAAATGGCGGAAACCGAAAACCTATAAAGTGTCATAACGAAGCCATAAATAAAGATATTAAAAAGAAATTTGGCACAAAGGATCGCATTATGGAGGGGCATATTTGGCCGTAATTTTTTGGAAAAGTGGGCGTGGCCCGCCCCCTACTAAGTTTTTTGTATATATCTCGGAAACTGCTACAGCTATGTCAACAAAACTCTATAGAGTCGTTTCCTTCAGGCATTTTCATATACAGCTCAAAAATGGAAGAAGTCGGACAATAACCACGCCCACCTCCCATACAAAGGTTATGTTGAAAATCACTAAAAGTGCGTTAACCGACTAACATAAAACGTCAGAAGCACAAAATTTTACGGAAGAAATGTCAGAAGGAAGCTGCATCCAGGCTTTTTTAAAAATTGAAAATGGGCGTGGCGTCGCCCACTTATGGACCAAAAACCATATCTCAGGAAGTACTCAACCGATTTCAATGAAATTCGGTATATAATATTTTCTTAACACCCTGATGACATGTACCAAATATGGGTGAAAGCGGTTCACAACCACGCCTGAAATCTCGATTATCACTTTATCATGCGAGAGTATAAAATGCTCGGTGACACCCGAACTTAGCCCTTCCTTACATGTTTTTAGTTATATTAAGCTCGCTATACGGCCAACTCCACTTCTTCATAATTTGCGTGCCCGGTCCTAGGCAGATTTTCGGCAACGAAAAAGCAAATGAGTGGGCTAAGTTAGGAGCCGCTCTAGCATAGCCATGACAGAGATAACACAGTGTTCGCTACGAACAATCAAGTGGAAGCTTAAAGGAAATTTTGTATAAATAGCTCAGAGTAAATGGACTCTCATAACCAAATGTAGGATAGTGAAACCGATACGACCAAAATATGACAATACTAAATTAAGGACTTACTACATAGGACCCAGAAATGTATATACAGAATTCTTCCTCTTCTTTATTGGAGTAGGCATCGCCTACACCGTTATAACCGAGTTTACAACAGCGCTTCAGTCGTTCTGTTTGGCGCCAATTGCAGATTCCAAGTGTAGCCGGGTCCTTCTTCTGCTGGTATTTCTAATAGAACCCGAAATGGCCCGAACAGTCTCTGTGGGCTCACTAACAATACCTTTGGTAGTATCTCATATCGTGGGCTCCCAAATTCTTAAAGCGTAGCCTTGTTAATGCGTGTTTCTCTGGTATTTTGCTCTTGACAATTTTTGCAGTTTCACCATGTGTCAGCTTAATACAGTAGGCGTGCGCCACCACCAGACTGTGACCAATGAGTATTCCAATCCGGTTCCTATAGTGCCTTCTATCGAGTGCCAGTAGGAACTTTGTAAATTTTCGATATATCATTAGACTTTGCATGGGTCTTCTAATGTTGATCACGTTTTTGGATAACAGCCGTATACCATTCTTGGCAATCTTGTCCGCTATCTCACTGCCTCGATACTTTTGTGGTCTGCATCCAGTAGAAGAGCAATAGCTAGCTTCTGGCGACATTCTCCACTCTTGCCATTCTTTCCAATGCACTTATAACAGATAGGTTGAAGCCTTATGAGGAAAACTTTTCTATTTGACAAGATAGAGTTGCAAAATTTGGCATGAATTATTCTATCTAATCTAATTCTGAAGTAATCAATCTGTATTCGGCGATTTTTACGATGAGTGAAATTATTCAACAAAGAAGTTCCATTAAATTTTGTCATAAAAAAAAAAAAAAATTTTAAATAAAAAATCAAATTTCTGGTGCCGGAACGTTCACAATGTTGAAAAGGGCTTCCGGTGATAATTCTTTGCCGCGAGCCAGTCTTTCTGATTACTATAAATTATTCAAAGAGGGTTGAGAACGCGTTGACGATGAACCACGTTCAGGGAGGCCATCAACATCAATTTATAATCAACACGTGAATAAAATCAAGGGGTTAGTGCTTGAGCATCGACGTTTGACCGTCAGAGACCTTACTGGGATTATTGGTGTATCGGAAAGAGCAGAGAACCCCATTTTGAAAGATCATTTGGGCCTAAGAAACGTTAAAGCATGATTGGTTCCAAAATCCCTAAATTTTTTCCTAAAATAATGCTTTCCGATTACAGATATATCATGAAACGTATCATTACTACCGAAGTGTTTTGAATCTACGCTTACTAAGCTAACAGACGAACAATCGGCCGAATATCGTGGTAAAGGTGAGCCGTAGCCCAAAAACCACATCAAAGTAGGTCAAAAATCAAGCTTATGTTGACAGTTTTTTTTTAGATTATCGAGGGGCGGTGCATTCCGAATTCATTCCGACCGACCAAACTGTCAACACAGAATATTATTTGCGTCGTTTCTTCTTCTTGATTGGCGTCGTTTGCGCGTACCTATTTGCAAGAAGAGGTCGGAATTATGGGCTGACAACTTTTGGTTTTTGCATCACGATAATGTCCGGTCGCATACTGCATTGATTCTTCGTGAGTTTATCGACAAATTTTCTAGTACCATCGTACATATTTGCCTGTGTGATTTCTGGCTATTCAGTAAACTCAAACGACCGTTCTAGGGAAACCATTTTGAGTCAACTGAAGACATTAAACGTTGAGCGCTATGCGGATTGAAGGTTATTCCGTAAATTTAGTACAACTTTTTCGAGTTTTGGAAAATACTTTAGCAACGTTTTTTATAGTAGGAGGAGGCGATAAGCTTGAATGCGGAACTTTAACCCGCTAAAGCTAACCAACTCCCAGCTCATATCTCTCTCGTGCAACCAACGTATTGAGTATTACTTTTTGGGAAAGAGTAAGATCTTGAGTCTCATTTGTCAGACCAAGTGAAGTTTTTAACTTTTCCCTTACGTTTGAAATACACGACGGACAGTAGGGATGTCATTTTAGAATCGGAACAAATAGCTTCTAAAGCATGCATTGCCACTCAGTATTTGCGTTAAGTCGAAGTTTAGGTCGCCATGTTGTCTCTATACACGAATGGATGTACGGGATTAGTCTGTGGGTTCACCGTACTTTGGTTGAGGGACCTCTACTCTTTTTCTACGTCTACAGACGGCTCTGATACTCGTGCCATCGCTCGAATACGTCGCTCTGGTTGTCAATGGGCGGCATACAAGTTGTGAAGGGTATTATAGCGTACACGTCGTTAACGCTCTTGTTTTTCTATTTTTTGAATTTTTTTGCTTCCTATCTGTTTGTGTCGCTGGCATTTCATTTTGGGCAAACTCATCTTGGTCACATTTAATTAAAACTGCAATTGAATGCAAAGCCCGCTATGCAAACAAGCAGCATGCAAGCAGACACACACACACATATACACATAACTTTTGCCGCATCTAGGCATTTCATTGATGTAAAATGCACAATGCATCATTGCATGCCACAGCTCGAGCCATCAACTCAACAAATGAGAATAACTCTGGTGTATACTTACCAGTATATACTCACATATATACATATGTTTATAGACATGCATAAATATGCTTATGTGTTCATGTGTCTGTCGGTCTGCAGGTATTTAAGCACTTACGTGTGCTGAGTGCTAAGTGTAACGTTTTATTTGCATTTGTGGCGAGGCAGCAGCAGCGGCGCAGAGCAAATGCAAAGCTCGTTTGCAAAATTATAATTTGTGTACTGTTAGTGTTTTAATTAAAAAAGAACAGTAGGCAACCGCAGAGCACAACACAGAGACGGGCACAGCACACCAGAGGAGCGCATAGCACGGCAGTGGAGCGCCCAGCGACCATTGGCAGCTGATTGCCGCGCGCTGGCAGACAATAAATACATGCGAGCCAATTGATGTATGGCAGCATTTAGTTGCGTATTGTTGTGTCGAACATGCAACTTCAATTTACCACATGAAAATTGCAACAAACCAATTCGCCAAGTGCACAAATGTGGCGGGGAAAAAGCGCATTTAAATTAAAAAACCAGAAAAGTTGCCAAGTAATATATGCGCTGGCGAAAATCAATCGGCATAAAAGCAGCTGGAACAATGCGAAAATTGCACGCAATGACGCTGATGACTGCTGTGCTGATTGCTGGTGTTCGTTGTTATTGTTGTTGTTGTTGCTGCTGCTACAGCTACCAACATTGTTGCGCTGCTGCACTGCAAATAGCCGCGTGGCACATGCCAACTGCCGCTTAATGTGGCTGGTGGCTGCTATGTATTTGCAATTGTTTGTGTGCGCTTCTCTTTGTTGTTGTTGTCTGTTTGCCATGCATGCATGTAAATCACTGCCGCTCATCGCGCCGACTGACTGACCTGGAAATTTATAGCTTTTAGGGCATTTATAAGTCTCGCCCGTGATGCGAGGTTATTGATTCTTCTCGTTTGCTGCCAGCGCGTGCAGCCAACTACCGCTAGTGTGCTGCTACAACAACAACCACAACTCAATATGTTGCATGCCATGTGGAGATCTCAATTTAATCCAAGTATGTGTTGTTCTTTTTCTTTTTTTTTTGGGTTTTCTTGTAGCGCTCATAGTATTTGCTACACGTTTATGCTTTTATGAGTTGAGCGTTTAGCCATGGCATTGCCGCTTTATATACACTTCACTTAGTTGTGATAT